TTGGAGTGGTCCATGGTGCACGGCAGCAGGGTGGCAGTAGACCGCGGTGAAGCAGCGCCGCCTAGCGGCCAACGCACTAACTACAGGCCGTTACAATGCTCACCGTGGTCTACTGCGCATCCTTCCTGCGCAGCGTGCCGCAACAGACGCCGTTCTGCTGGGCTTCTTTTCTCTTTAACTGACTCCTATTTCTCTCATCTCCCTATGGAATTATGATCGGCACAGCATTTCCCATCGTCTCGTGCACTCTGATTTCAACTATCCAGTCGTCGCTGTCGATAAGAAATTAAAAAATGCACTCAGCTACTTAAAAAATCAAATGATTTAACAATAAAACAATATTTTGCTAATAGGATTAAAAAAGCTCAAAATGTAACCAAGGAGACTTGGAACATTATCAAAGAAAACAAAACAAACCGAGTAAGTAGAATCAAAAATTTGTCTCTAGAGGTACAAGGGAAACTTTGCGATCAACCGAAAGCCATTGCCAACATGTTTAATCAACACTATAGAGATGTACCGGTTAAAATATAGAATAGATTGAAATCAGAAATATTTAATAATGGAAATTTAGATCAGATAGAAAAAATAATACTGTTAACACCTCCAACCATAAATGAGGTACTGAAAACCATTGCAGAACAATCAAACAAGAGATCGGTGGGTCAGGATGGAGTATCCAATCATGTTCTCAAAGCATGCAGGGATGAGGTAGCACAGCTGTTAATGCATATCTTTAATTTAATGATAGAACAAGGAAAATTCCCTACAGGTCTGAAGAGCACTGTAGTGATACCACTTTATAAGAAAGATAGTGATTATGATCAAAAACATTTTAGGCCTGTAGCTCTAAACTCGCCCTTCTCTAAAGTATTTGAGAAAATGCTTTTGACAAGGATAGTAAGTTTCATTAGGTAACATAAAGTTATAGCTAGGGTCAGGGCGGGGAAGAACTAGACAGGGGAAGAACTGGACACCCCATATTTAACTTCAAATACCGGAGGCACAGGAATAACAACTATCAAAAGTTGTTCCGTGGCATCAGCGGTTCATTACATAACAGTTGTCAGGCCAGTACATACGGCATTTGAAGTAAAATGTGGGGTGTCCAGTTCTTCCCCTGTCCAGTTTTTCCCCGCCCTGACCCTAATATCCAGTTTGGATATCAAAAAAAGAAATCTACAACAGATGCAATTACCTATTTAATGAAAAATATCTATGAAGCAAAAGGAAAAAATAAGAAAACACTAGCTGTCTTCTTGGATTTAAGTAAAGCATTTGATTGTGTGGATCATGACACACTCCTGTCTATATTGAGTAAATATGGACTGAGAGGTAAAATATTTGATATTCTAAAATCTTATTTAACAGACAGACTGTGAGAATCACATCGGTGGATGCTAAACAGAACATAAAAGCTATCCAGTCTGAAATACTGAAAATCTTGTTTGGTGTTCCCCAAGGTAGCATACTTGGTCCATATCTTTTCATAATCTTTATAAATTGCATACAAAAGTTGATCGAAATAACAGGAAAAGTAGCGATATACATCGGCAACTTTGGCCCGTCCCGTACATTAAGAAACGTACGAATTTCTATGTTTGGCCCTGACGGGAATTAAATCTGAGTCTGGGGTTAAAATAAATGTCGTTTTCGTCATCAGCACCCTCAAAAACATCAGAAACAATGCAAAAACTCGAATAAAAAGAATGTTCCAAAAATACCCCGCTGGGATTTGAACCCGGGTCCAAACTTCTCCGATTTGCTCGAAACTGGCACCATTGGTTTTCTCTCGTCGCCCCGATTCCAAAAATACCCCTACATGCCCTCCTAGCTGCATCCGTTGCCGAGATCCTCCTGGACCCCATGTAGACCATGATGCACCTGCAGCAGCGCCCCCGGGGCTCGGATCGGATTTGCTGCCACCGGGCGGTTCTTAGGGTCACCCAAGGAGGCTGCATACCAAATTTGGTCAAGATCGGACCACGGGAAGTCCTCGGACGAACGAACGAACGAACGAACGGACGAACGAACGAACGGACGCACAGCATGCATCACACTATATGCCCGTCCCTCCGTCATTTTTTTACAAAAAATACACTGTAAAAAATTATTGTGAATTTACGAAATTTTATTTTACAAATTCCTTGTAAAGTAACAATAACATTTCGTTATTTTATGAAATTTATTTGTAAAGGCCGATTTATGGATTATTCATCACAGAAATCTTCTTAATTTTATGAAATTTGTTTGTGAACACCGCTTTATGAAATGGTACGAACTAAATACATCTCAAAAGTGACGATATTACTACAGTTAGGTCACAGAAATATGAAATGTTTCCTAAAATTACAACAAATCCATGGGTAATTTCGTTGCACAAATCGCTTGTAAAATTACGAAATAGGGTGATGCCTTCGTCATTTTACAAGATGTCTCATAGAACTACAAGATGTTTCATAGAACAAAAAAATTCCACTGAAACAAGTTCATCTTCATTTAATCAGCGTGACAATGTTGAACAAAAGTGGTCCTTGTAAATTGAAACTTGTAAAAAGTTTGTGATTTTACAAACTACTGCGTGAAGAAAAATTCATAAATCGATAAAAACATAAAAACGTTGTATATTTACAAATAATTCGTGCAACGAAATTACCCCTAATTTGTTTGTAAATTTACGAACAAATTTTTTACAGTGTAAACGGGACGGGCCAAAAATGGGGGCAAAGGCGGTAATTTATGTGGATGATACCACAGTATTGGTTGAGGCAGAGAACTGGGAGGAACTACGACTTGCGTCGTAAATTTACGACGTATTTGTCGCTAATTTTGATAGCGAGACGTTCCGTTTAGAAACGAATTAAGTCGTAAATTTACAACTTAATCGTAAGTTTACGAGCGATCGTAATTTGTCTACGGAATATGTCGTGCAGTTATGACTTGAGTCGTACATTTACGAATATTTTCGTAAATTTGTTTAATGAATCGTAAACGAACGACACAAATCGTAAATAAGCGAGCAAAATTGCAACTTTTCATCAACTTTTCGGGGATTTGAGATCTCAAAATATGTAATCGCGATTGCGACATTGTCGTAGAGAAATGATTTTTTAGTCGTTCAGTTACGACGAAGTAGTTTCAGAACGATTTCTGTCGCTATCAAAATTTACGACAAAATGTCTGACAGTGTTGTGTTTTCGCTGTCGCCGTGTCCCTCACCACCAGGATGAGCCGCACCCGCGCATTCAAGAGAGGTCGTACCTACGACACGTCGTCGGACAGCAGCTCAGAGGAGGACGTGCTCATCATCGACGTCGAGTCTGCTCATCATCGACGTCGAGTCGTGTGACTTGTACGAGGTAAGGCGACGCGCTGTCCGTTTGAGTACCGAAGGGCGAAGCCCTTGCCATTTTACGCCATGTTGGTTTCACACCAGCTAATGCCCCGTTTCCCTTTCAGCTCTGTAGAGTCAGTGCCGTTTATCACGCGAGTGTCCATTCTTACCGTGCCCCGCCACGCCGTGTCGGGCAGACTGTGCTTAGAGTCAGTGCCGCTGATTTTCCCGAGAGCAGTGTTCGTCCAAACCGAGTCATGTTTTACTTGTCTGCCTCGCCCGTGCCACGCCACGCCGTGCCGGGCAGGCTGGACTTAGAGGCAGTGTCCGTTACTTATCAAACCGCGTCGTGTTCGAACTTGTCTGCCGCTGGCCGGCGTTGCCTCGCTCGCGTCACGCCACGCCGTGGCGGGCAGGCGCAGTGAGGTATTTTGCGATAGTGAAAAAGAGAAAGAAGAAGATGCGGCGGTGGGGGTAGAACATAACGAACCCTCATTTGTTTGGCGGCCATGATGCCCCCCATCCGCCCCCGCCTCGCCCCGCAAGCAGACGAACTGCACGAAGCGCATTCCATTTTCTGTGCTAAAAAATGTAAATACAGTTTGAAGCGTTCACCTTGATCTTGCTTACCAATGCCGATTCACTGCGAACGAACGGTATCGGTACGCGATTTTCTTTCGTGTTTTGACAAGAAACTAATCTCTCTGTACCCTTAATGGTTTCAGCTTGATGAGAACGCCCAGGAGCGAGGGGTCGGCAACTCATATATTACTTCGTACGCGATGGCTATATTACCCTATATTACCTGTATATTACCATATATTACTTGCATATTACCACAATTTCTCCTCTATAATACCCCTATATATTACTTTATATTACACATATATTACCTATATTACTGGTAATATACGTATACTCCCTCGTACACGGCCAAGGGAAGCTGCCGACCCCTCGCCCAGGAGGCCTGGCAAATGCAGATAGGGTATTCCAACGGCCTCCCAGAACGGAAGTGAGAAGAAGACCCCGTTGAGGCCCGAAGACAGCCGAAGGGCAGGCCCGAAGCCGATCGGGTCTAGTATGAAAAAACCGTGGTGCGGATGTCTCCCCCCAAGCCGAGGGCGCCGGTTTCGTGCTGTACGTGCTAATATTGGTTTTAAGTGATAATGTAACGTGTTCAGTGTTAAAATATTTTCAGGGCGTTATTTTAAGTCGTCAGGTCAAAAAGTTATGAGAGTTCATGCGATGACTTCGCGAATAAGGCTTTATTTCACTGCAGGAGAGATCCATAAACCCCTCAACATTTACCTCATTTTTTATTTTTGGACCTTTAATGCTCGTGTCATGCTCAAGCATTAGAAAAATAAAGTAGCCAAACTCATTTTTGCTTTCCAGTTTCATTTGCACTATTTTCTTGATTAACTTTACGGGTGTCGCAAACAGTTCAACCTGTGTTCGCCCCCCTGGACCTTCTCTCTAATTTTTTTTTTTTCTTTTTTTTTTCTTGTTTAAAATAGTTTCTAGTGATTTTGTGATGGACCTTCGAATTTCATCTAGATTTTAAACATTTCTGTGAGGCAAGTATTTCCCCTTGAAGTTGTTTTCTCTTCGATGCCTGCGTCTGTCGGTGAAGTCAAACTTCATGTTATTATTCCAGGATCTAGTCATGTCTTCTTCTTGGGGTACGTTGAGGCACATAGATGCTGGCCTCAAGAATGTCACATTTAGCAATTCATGCTTCATCAATGCAACTCTGCAGGTAACAATATTATCTTGATATTTGGTTATCTGTTTCTTTTATTCATTCTTTGTAATGTCTTTTTTGTTCCTTCTTACAGTGTTTATTTCACACTCCTGAATTTTTGATGTTATTGGAAAGTGATGAAGCTCATCGCAAGAAGTGCTCTAGCTTCAAATGCATTTTGTGCAACTTGAATAAGGTGTGGACAAATATGAAAGCTGGAGAAGCCATAGTGGCATATCCAATTATTTTAATGCTTGACCGTGAGTATGGAAGTACAAACCTTTTTTTGAAGTTCATAAATAATCAACTAGGTAACTATCTATCTTTTGTATTAATAGGTATATGTGTCCATATGAAAAGGGGTAAACAAGAGGATGCGTCCGAATTTCTAGAATTTCTCTTGTCTCGTCTGAATGATGATTTGACAGCGAGACCTGGTTCCAACAGCACAGGAGCAGTGTCTGATATATTTGATGGGTGGATGAAAACGACAGGTAACTGTAAGAGATAAAGTCATCATATTAGAAAGTAGGGTACATTTAATTTTGTTTTTATGTCCCTCTTTAGTTACTTGCACCGTTTGTGGGAAGGAGCACATAGGTGTGAACCCTGAAAGAGATTTATTTGTAGAGGCATCCAATAGTGACAAACCTAATACGGTAGAAAGTCTTCAGGATAAAGTCAACCGTTATCTGAAAGGCAGGGAAATTTTTAAGTTCAAGTGTGAGAACTGTGGCAAGAGTGTTGACTGTCTCAAAGCTTATTCCTATTATACTTATCCAAAAATACTGATAGTGAATATCAAAAGGTAAGGAACAAAAAAATGTGAATTTAAAGAAATATTGCTTAGACATCTTGCCTATGTAACCTGATGGGCCTTTCATTTTCATTAGGTTTGCCCATGGCACTGATAAGAAATTCACCAACCCAGTATCAGTTCCTAAAACAATGCAGGTGGGAAATGCAGAGTATGAGTTTGTAAGTAGCATTGTTCATAGTGGTCCTTCTGTCACTGAGGGGCATTACACCTGTGTAGCCAAGTGCCCTGACAACTCCATCACTCAGTTTGACGATGCCAAGGTTTGTAATATGGTGGTGTTATTCGAAATTAGGAGCTTTCTGTCATGTGAACATTGTACAAGTCACATATTGTTGCATTTACAGGTGAAGAAAAACTTAAAAGAGATGAATACGCCGGACTTTATGAGAGGGGTATATACTGTTCTATTTTCTTTGAAGAGTCTCACACCAAAGCAACCAGAGGAAGTTTCGGTTGGTAGTTCCCCCAAATTTTACTTATAAAATTCTATTTCCTGATAATTTTTTAAATTTTATTCTTATTTTATGCATAGGTGCGCCCATCTAAAAGGCCTCTTCCTCTCACCCCAACCAAAGTTAGTCCGTATGCGAAAAAGGGCAGTACTTTGAAGACCTTTTCTCCCATGAGGAAGAAGAGAAACTTGAGGAAGGCACTGGTATTTCGACCAAAAGTACCCCTTAACACTGACAATCTTCAAGTGGAGGTAAAATAACTTAAATTTGTCCCAGTGAACATACTACTTGGAGTGCCATTGGCCTCTGCATTTTCTGCTGTTTTTAATTTGTGTCCTATTGCAGCAGTTCACTGAAGAGCCAAATTCCAAAGAATCTTGTTTGAAATTGCCATCCACTGTTTCTAAGGAATCTGGTTTGAAATTGCCATCGGCTGTTTCTATCTCCACTCCACAGCTGTATGAAGATAGTTTCATAATAAAGGGATGGGATAGCAGTGATGACGAAGGAACAGAGGCGCCCGAAGTTCGAGTAATGTCCCTACATTAATATCTTGTGCCATTTTCCATGTTCAAAATTATTTCAAAACTTTTCCCTAATTTTGCTGCTGTTTTTTTTTTCTAGGCATCATTAGGCATGGGAAGCAATCCCAAAACAGGGAGCCCTGTTTCTCTGCTGGACAGTGAAGATGTAAGTTGTTTTTTTACAAAATATATAATTATTTCAAATATTTCTGAATGATCAGTCCTGGACCTGGATTTTCTTTCAGACTATGACCGCATGTATTACTCCCATAAAAGTGAGATTCCCAGAAGCCCCGTCACAGACGCTTAAAAACCTTCAGGTAAGGTTGAGAATTGATATGAATTATTATACATTTTTCCTCTAAGTTATCACCTGTTACTGTTTTTTTCTCTCTCTCCCTCCCTCTTTTTGTCCCTGCCTCTGTCTTTGGACTGTAGGAACCGCTAGGGGAAGAAAACGAACTAGGTGGCATTGAGACTCTTGACTGGGGCTCAGACAGTGAAGAGGTTTGTAGCAATCTGTAGCATTATTTGTAGTATGACATGCATTTTTAACCCTCTGATTTTCATTGCAGACTGCGACTGCTTGTATTACCCCTATTAAAGTTAAAGTTCCACCTGTTCCGCTTCAAAATAAGTTTCATCAAAATGAACATGATTATTGTGCCATTCAACCTAAAGAGGTTTGTCCATTTTCTACTTCACTTATATAGCTTTGCAATACATTATTTAAATTCTTGTGCTTTTTAGGGTCCTCTGATTATACTTGTTGATGAGATGTTTGTTTTCTTTGGTTAAACATTTTTCCTTTTGTAAATAACACTGGACTTTGATTTCATTTTTTTCTGTTTCACAGGACAAAAAGCCAATTACTCCAATAAGAATAAAAGTCACAAATGTGAAGAGGCAAATACTTGACAATGTTTCCCACTACTCTAACGAATATGCCATAATTGACCCCAGGAAAAACGTAAATTGAGGCACTGCAGTGTCAGTCAGTACCTTCTAATATTTTTTTTCCGTTTCAAAAATTATTTGTCTTTTTTGTTTTTAGCACAAGCCATCATCACACCAGACCCTGAGTTGGAGCCACAGCCAGATGAGGATTTACAGCCCTTTGTACCTCCTGTCATTCCATTTACAGAAGATGATGTGCCTGAGTCCAAACTCATACATCCTATTGTGGAAAAAAACACAAAAGAGCAACTCAAGAAATGGTTGAAGTGGAGAGGACTCAAAAGAAAAGGCAACAAACCTGACCTTGTTAAAAGGTGAGAAACATTTTGCATCATACTGTATTTTGGTCATTCAGAATAGATTTTAATTTCCTTTCTTTTTTTTTAAGAGTGCATGCTTGCATTTCTGGACAGAAAGATAAAAATCTGGACCCTGCAGCTTATGGTGGTGTAAGATATGAGGAGAAAAGACGCCAAGTAAGAAAATAAGAATGATGGTACAACTGTGCCATTCATTTGTGCTTTCTCTGTGTAATATTTATATGTTTCATTTCAGCTGGAGGCTGCTGACCAAACTGTACAAGTCTTATTCCCGGAGTATGGTTGGGACATATTTCCCAGTAGGGACATTTCACCGCATTACAGTTTTGGAAGTATTTATCATTATTTAATTGAGACCATGCCCACCCTGGGAGATGACAGAGACAGTGAGTCCAGTGGTGAAGAAGAGTACCATGAGCCAATAATAGTCACAGACCCATTCGAGAAGCTGGAGAAAAATGAGATCAGGAACAGCAAAAAAATGCGCAGGGGTCTCCTTTATGTCAAGAGTGACTGGTTGCGTAATCTACAAGATTGTATGCATGACCGTGTTCATTACTTTAAAGCTGAAGTGAGAGCCTCCATGCATGCCCAAGCATACACCGTGAGAGTAGCTGTTTCTCAGACATCAGGGATAGTGCTTCGGGGTCAGTGTGACCCTCTATGCATGCAAACGACACTTGGCCGGTGCAGTCATGTGAGCGCATTGTTGCTGAAAATACTTTTGCATGTGAAGCTGAATGGTGCTGGCGGTGAGTGCAATTTTTTTAGTGATATTTGAAACACACAATCAACGTCAGCTCCAATTATTTTAGATGCCTCATTACCTTCATCATCATCATCATCCTCAAAATGTGTGTAATGAATTTTACTATTATTTATTTACAGAGGCATTTCATGAATAGGGGTGAGTGAGTGCGTTTCGTTTGTTGCCTGTTTGTCTCTCCAATTTGTGGTGTTGGTGGTGGTGTTGGATTTTCTCTTGTCAGGTTGGTTGTGTTGGGTTTGGTGAGTGACATCTGACGATTTTCTTCACTACTCTCTGCTTGACTGGAACTCTCTTTCTTGAGAATGGGCATGGTTGCCTTGGCACAGATAATTTCTGTATTGTGGCTATGTGGTTGACTATCATCTTCTGATAACTCTATGCCGGCAGGAGGGGTGGGAATTTTGTGGTTTTTAAAAAATTTCTTACTTTAATTGTAAATGACTCTTTAATTAACAAAGTTTCCATAGAATGCACAACAATGCAGCATGACAAACATTCTACTTACATACTAATTATCATTGAGCATGATTAATATGGCACATTTGGCAAACAATTATCACATTGAAGTGCGGGAATACTTTAATTTTTTAATAATAATTGTCTTTGGTATTTGAAGAATATTTCATCTTCAATACAACTAATTTGCATGAAAAAGAATAATCTCTAATTTTAAATTTAAATGCATGAACGAATAATGAACGCTATTCCACTTTCCAGCACATAGGTGAAGTAAGTGCAACAAAATTGAAATATAAAGTGAGTCTTAAGAGAATCTGACTGTTACTTCTAACTTAAAAACACATACAAGTTACATCACTGTGAATTACTGAGTAGAGGAGTCACATTCTTCTACAGCTACATTTTTGTCCTTGATCCGTGACTCTTTGCAATTTGTCAGCATAGCTGATATGAAAACCAATTGGGGCCACACTGGGAGCATAGTGAGCACACCCTTGGATTGCAGTAGTCGGCAGTCTTTTATGTCCGCTATAGCATGTTCAGAATAAATTCTTGCTGATGCAATTTGTTTGGTCAAAATTTCCTGTTCAGCAGTCAGGCTCAGGTCGCCACATTTGTTTGGTGGTTTGTATAAGTGGACCCCAATCATCTGAAGTTCTTCTACAAGTTCAAAACCTCTATCACTCATGACAGAATCCCCTTCCGAAAGCATCTGAAGCAGATTGCTGTTCAGGACAGCCTCTTTCTCTGACATATTTGCCTCAAAGCCAGGGCTACAAAAAATGACACTACCATGACAAGAGACACCAATTATATGTTCAATGGCATTACTTTCCTTATATTTAGAAAATGTATTTCCTTGCTGGTGAAAATTGCTTGGTGTTTGCACAAGGAAGTATGCCCCATCTACAATGACTCTCAGATTCTTGAAGGGCTTCATTATACGAGGCTTACTTTGTGCCTGTCTTGCAGCAGAGATAAAAATCTTCTCTTCCAGTGTCTTGAATGTGAGAAATACAACTCTGGTAACAACATAGCAAAGCTCTCCTGCGTATGACGGGCTGATACCAAAAATGAAGGACAACTCTTCTAAGGGTAAGCCTCGCCTCAGTCTCAAGAGAAACATCATCAACCTGTCCCTTCCACCAATCCGAGACTGCTGCAATTTTTTTGGTGTGTCAATTCTGTAGTTGAGCTTCAGTCTCAAAAAACAATCATTTCCTCCAAAGAACTGGTACAATGCCTCAAAATCTGCTGCATTAAGTCCAGTAAAGAATTCAAATTTCCTGCTTTTATGGCATTTTTTATGAGATACCATGGCCTCCTCAATGCACACCTGAATGTTCACATCTCGTTTCCTCTGCAAATGAAAAGGTGCACCAAATTTAAAAATTAAAAACAATCAGTGCACTTACAAAAATATGGTCATCTAAATTGGTACCTCCTCATCCAAATAACTGAGAATGTACTGCTGTAACTTACCGGCACCTCAGTTTGGGTTGACATACTCCTTGTCTTTTGGACTGGGGCATTCATTATCTCCTCTGTGACTGTCGGAAAACCTAAGAACTGAAACAAAACAAAAAGGGATTATATGTAGAGCCTTTAAAATAATGAATGATTCATTACAATGAGAATTTACTTTTGCAATAATGTTAAGGAAGGAACTAATTTGGACTATTTTTTTTTACAGCTATCACATGTACTGGAAGGACCAACACATGGAATAAGGGTTCCCTGAAGCACGACCCATCTGAGGTGACTGGCAGACAGTATGACTCTTTCAAGATTGATATGAAAAGAAGATCTACATTCGATCCTAGGCCAACAAAATACCAGTACGATTATCCATCCCAGAAAGAAATCAATAGTCTCTTGTGTGACCTCAGTTACAAAAGGAGTCACTGGTCACTCATGTGGGATATTGAGTATCCAGATTTCGATTATGATGAAGATGGTCTGGAATGCTTCAAACAGCTTCGGTCAAACCTGTATGACTCACTATCTGATTTTTTAGAAATGAACAAACCTTCCCCAGACCATGAAGGTCCTTTGGAGGTGATGGCTACTCGAGGTCAAAGTGGGAATCGTTTATGGGATAAGTTACGATGCCTACACACATCAGCATCAACTTGTAGGACAGTG